TCCCTACATCAGCTTCCGTATTTCATGAATGAGCTGATGCTGACGGAGCTGGACATGGGCACATCCATCCCCTCAGTCCTCAGTGCCTCCAACCCCACCATCAATGACCAAGGTAAGAGCCCCGCAGAGCAGCAGGGACCCCAGGGCTGGCTCCACTGCAGCTGTTATCAAGGTGCCAGCCTGGTCCCCAAAGCAGGGAGGTCTCAGCAGGCACACAAGCAGCCCTCAACCCCTGTGGTGCTGACAGGAGCTTGCCCTGTCCTTCTCCCTGGCAGGTCTCTGGGTGGACATGGAAGTCACCTACAGCGGCTCGTTGCAGATGACGCTCGAAACAAAGATGAACCTTTGCAAGCTGGGGAAGGAGAGCACTGCAGAGGAGAGCGACCCGGCAGAGGCAGGCAGAGAGGGGTAAGGAGACTGTGCCTGACCGGGTTTCATCCTTCTCCTCCTCCTGCCTGAGCCAAGCGGGAGGGTGCTGGCCCCAGGGCACCCCGGTGATGCTCCTCGGGGCTCACAGGGCCAGGCCACGTCTGATCCTGCTGGCAGACAGCGATGCAGAGTCGTCCAGCGCTGGCTCCTCCGACGAAGACGACATCACCGCTGCAGAGCCCACAGGAGCCCTGGGGGAGCGGGTCCCGCCGCCTGGCGCCGAGGGGTAAGGGGCTGTTCTGGGTCTGTGCCATGGGGTGTATGGGGAGATGCTGGGGGAGGCGCAGTGCTACGCCAGCACAGGGGCTTGGGGCCGGTTTCCCCGGGAAGGCGCATACAGGCACCCTGGCACATCATGGCCCCGTTCATCGGGGACTCCTGTCCCTGCAGGGTGCTGTGGCTTTCGGCTGGGGGATGCCGAAGCCCAGCGCAACTCCAGGTCTCACCCTGCTGCTGAGCTGTGGCTCCCCTCGCTTTAGCCATGTCAGCGGCAACAGCACGAGCCGGAAGATCCTGCGCTTGGTGGATAAGATCGCCAAGTCCAAGTACTTCCAGAAGGCCACTGAAAATGAGTTCATCAAAAAGAAGATCGAGGAGGTTTCCAACACACCGCTGCTGCTGACGGTGGAGGTGCAGGAGCTGGCAGGCACCTTGGCTGTGAACATCCCACCACCTCCAACGGACCGTGTCTGGTACCAGCTCTCCTTCCTCCCATGCAGGGACACACACGCATCCTCCTTGCAGCTCCCCTTGTTCCCTGCGGCTCAGCCAAGGAGCCAGCTCTGGGGCTTCAGGTTCATCTGGGGCACCGGCAAGCCAGGGCTGTTCTCCAGATTCTCTCTGGTGTCATGTGCTCAGGACGTGATGCTTTCTGCCTCTTTCCTTTCCCCTTGCAGGTACAGCTTCCGAGTCCCACCCCAGCTGGAGCTGAAGGTGCACCCGAAGCTGGGCGAGCGGGAGGTGACATTCCTTCATGTCACTGAGTGGATCGAGAAGAAGCTGCAGCACGAATTTCAGGTGCCTGGTCTGTTAAAGAGCTCAACAAACCCTGCTGAAGCATGGGCATTGCTGAGACCAGGGATAATCAGGCCTCAGCTTGGGCCAGGGTTATCTCTACAAAAAGACAGCATCTGATCTGGTCTGTCCAGCTTCCCACTGGTTTGTTTTCAGCCTCTCACCTTTGAGACCTCTGGTCAAAGAGCAAAAATGTCCCCACAGACATTCAGGTACCCGAATTCCCCCCAAAGAGCTGTGCATTTGAATGGTTTCAAAGTGCTGGTCCCTGCCCTCTGCCATGACCACCCTTGAAGCCATACAGGTGGGCAGGGCAAAGAAAAACTGCTCCTGCTTGTCCCCACCCTGAGATATCCAGAGCTGCTCATCCTCTAGGGCCAGGCACAGTCAGCTGCTGCTGAGGGGATGCGAGCCCGGGACCTTCTGTTCACAGCCCCAGTCTCTTCCAGGCAGATGTGTCACCAGTCAGGTAGCGGTATTCAAAACCACTTACTTGTTATTCTGGATTCCTCTTCTCAGAAAATTTTGGTGATGCCAAACATGGACGATCTTATCATTCCCATCATGCGCTCTGGCCTGGATCCTCAGCCACCCAGGGACCTACCAGCCAAGGGAGAGAAGAGGCTGTGAAGCGCAGCCCCACGAGCAGGGAAGAGACACTACCCAGAGCTCAGGGACCTCGCTGGGACATGGAGCCAGCCAGAGCCTGGCCACTGGCTGCATCCAGGGCTATGCCATGGGGTCTGAGCTTCTCAGTTCATCTCATCTTGGCAATTTTGTAGATGAGCCTCCTCCTTAAATACTGCAAGCACATGTTCAGAGCAGAACCAGACCCAGGGCAAGGGGTTTGCTGGAGATCCAAGAACTTCATACACCTCCTACGAGGTTCCCAGGACTCCGGGTCAAGGGGGCAGCTCTGGACCAGCGGAGGAGGGCTGGGCTTTCCACTGTCTGGTTCCCAAAAAGGGTGCAGGACGCCCAGACTGCTTCTGCACTGAAAGAGTTGTGATCACCGCTGATCCAAGACATCACAGCACCAAGACCCATCACACCCTCCCCGCAGGCAGCTGGACTGCAAGGAACACATGGGTGGGAAATGAGTCCAAAATCTGAATAAATCCATCACTGCCCATCACAGTCTTACCTAGCAGCCATCTTATTGTACACCAGTTCCCACATCTGCTGCAGATGCTGGCCAGGATTGTGGGGCTTTGTGCAGAGAGAAGTCCACAGGCCATACTTTCAGCTCAGCAAAGGGAGTGCCTGGGTGTGCGTGTGAGAGGTGGCGAGGGGAGACATGGTCAGTGAGACTGGGCAGGGGCAGGTAATGGGGGGGCCCTGTGCTCCCAGCTGAAACTGGGGCAGAAGTGCTGATACCTGCTCTGCTCTCCTCTGGGAGAGAGGAAAGGGAGTCTTCACCATGGCTTGGGTGAATGCAGGCAGTGGGGAAAAATTCACTGAGCAAGGGAATGGGAGGATCCAGAGTCCAGAGCAGACACTAGGCTGTCTCAGTTAGTCCCTGTCCATATGGGCCAGTCTCAAGTGCTACTTGATCCATCCCCACCTGCTGAGGAGCCTCAAGGACACGCTGCTGCCCACAGGCAGCACAAAGCACAGGCAAGACACCTCTCCAGAAGGAAGACAGGCAGCAGGCATGGCTTGAAGCCTTTTTATTGAAGGTGCCCAGTTTTACTGAAGGTAGCCTTGCAAATCTCAGTCCTCACAGCTCTTCCTGCACTCCTGGCTTCCCTTTCACCAAGTGTTTCTTCTGAGGGCCCTGGAAGAGAGCAGAGAGGAGAGCTCTCCGTGTTAGTGGCAGACAAACTTGGCCTACAAGGCTGCATGTGAGCTGCATGGAGCAGAAATGCAGCTCTGGTCCCTTTCTGCTGTGCAAGGCTGCTCCCCATCTCTGCTCTCCAGCTGGGAGCCCTGTGCTGCCATGCACCAGCCACTCCCGGGGCTGCGCTAGCCCGGCAGGAATTGGCTGCAGAACGTCATTAGCTTTGCACAAAGGGTTTGTTTCTCTGGACAGCACAAAAGCAGCCAGAGAGCAGCAATGAGTGACCTGCTCCAAGCCAGGCGGGCTGGCCTGCAGTCAGGGGACGTGGAGGGGAACAGTAACTGTGCTGATGAATGCTACCAGGAGCCCACCACGGTGGAGTGGCTGCCGAGCTGCTGTACGAGCCCCGGAGGAGGTGAGACCTCCCACAGCCAAAGGCACAGATTCTCATCAGCCAACTCAACAGAGCCTGAGGGGTTTCCACCAGCTAAGAAATGGGGTTGTCCCAGACCAAATAATCCCATGGGAGCAGATTGCGAGAGTTACTTATGTGCCTCTACTTCTATCCAAATGTAAAGTTTTACCACAGTATACAGGGGGGAAATTCTCCCCCCACAGTAGAAAATGGCAAAGAAAACATCTGCAACCAGGTAAAACCACCTCCTGTCACTAAGATCCACGTCACAGCTACTCAGCACTTGCAGCAACAGCAAGAGCTGAACACAGAACAAGCTCCTAACACTGAGATAAAGGAAAATAGCTTAACCTCTAAAGAGCCTGCAAAAGCACTGCATAGTCAATCCCCCTTCCCGGAGCTAAGGAGGCTTACCCAGTTTCACATGGGATTTCTAGCTGACAGGCCAGATCCAGACACGGTTTGTGTCTGCATGGTATAGGCAGTTGTTTCTTTCATTTCTGCTAGCTGAAGGCTTGTCTTACTTAACGCTTCCTCAATTTCACATTCAGACTTATGCACCAGCCCGGTGTAAGTTGCAAAACTATTCAAGAAACTCTGCTTGTTTTGGATTTATTTGAATGTTTTTTGCCCCCCCGATTTAAGAAAAATATACTGCTTGGCCTTCTTGAAAGCTTCCTGACAAAAGAATCGCAAATTTGTGTCTGAATTTGACCCAACCTTTTCCTCCTAAGAACGTTAAAGTTATAAATCATTCCAAACAAATCAAAGAAGTACACAATTACGGGTGAAAGGGACCATATGTACAAGGCAGTGCCTGCCAAGTTAACTGCTTAAGACATCCCGTGGTGAATGGAAACTGGTTGTCCATATGGTATATTATTTGCTAGTTGGGTTGTCTTGGATCACTCACACAACCATCGTGTTCTTCCTTAGCATTGTATCTCCTGTGTGAATTGAATTCATGCCTTTTATGCAAGACAGTCCTGATCACTCATTTGGCTGTTGTTATATCGAGAAGCAGATTGGAGTCAATCAGTTGCTTTAGCCCCAGCTGCGAGCACGGCCCGGGAGCTGGAGCCGGCACAGAGCACAACTCACCATGAAAGCACGCTTCTCCTGAGCTGTCTGGAAGCAGCCGTGGCCAAACTTGGAGGTGGTATCAATGAATTTGAGTTCAATGGCTTCCTGAGCCCGGCGGCTTGTATGCACCAGAAGGGACTGGAAAAGAGGAGTCACAATGCATCAGGCTTATCTCTACAGAAAATCTGGACATCTGCTCTCATGGAAGCAGGGTTAAAATATCCTAGGTGCATCCATTAGACAGTATCTCCACAAAAATCTGCCTTCTCAGAGAAACACCCTGCTGCTCAGGTGGCAGGTGATGCCTTGGATTGCAGAGCAGCTCTGAAATGAGCCCGCTCTTCGCTTAGCATTTCGTTTCCTCACAATCTGTTTATGGCCAAGGTTTCCCATCACAGCCGCACAAGCTTGCAGCTACTGTCTCCAGAGAGAGAACGTCCATCTGCACACTGCCACAACCACAAATGGTCTTGCTGAGCACCTTACTGATGTGCCACATGCCCTCTGCAACACAGAGTCAGGGACCCAACCAGTCTCCCTGCCCAACATTTTGGAGGCAGTGGCATTCTCTACATGGTGAATCTGTTTGTGGAGAGCTACACCCCCTCCCTCCCCAGCACCAGCTGCACTCTCACCTTACGGAGGGTGAGCACACGCTTCCTCGTGCCCACGACGCAGCCCTTCAGCATGAGGAAGTCGTTGTTGACCTCCCCATAGTGAGGAAAGCCACCCTGTGGGGAGAGACAGAGAGAGGGTTGGCAGGCAGGAGAGCTGGATGGGAGCAGACAGGTCCACAAGTCCCTTCTAAGGGAGAAGGTAGTGACTGACAGTCCTTCCAGCTAAATACACTCTGCACCTTTCAGGCTGCCTGCTCAGGACCACCTGAACATGTCAGCCACACTGACTGCATGATCCCAGCTAAGGAGAACCTCCTAAATGCTGGGAAACCAGCAACCCTGCTTCCTTCCCTGGCGAATGTGGCTGAACAGAGCGCAGAGCTGGCTAGACTCCCAAGTTAACAGTTTCTAATAAGCAAAGTGAATTTTTAAACCAAGTAACAAACATTTATGTTACATATCAGATTTCTAACATCACTTACTTCTTTTTCTTTTTAATCAAAGTTGTCAGTTTCTGCCCAGATTATCAGCTGAAAATGAAATGTTGGGGTATACCAATGGACCTAATAAAACAGCTCACTGAGATGGTTTTCCATGTTCAAAACATGAGGAAAGGAATCACTACATTTCTTTCAATGCATTTCCTTCAAATTATTTCCTATGCAGCTGTGTCCAGCCGAGGAATTACTTCCCCAGCTCGGATTCCTACCAGTCACAGCCCTATTACTCCCTCAGCCCTTACCAGGGGCGTAATGGTCTTCTCCGTGACATCGTAGTGTGTCGAGGCGTTGTTCTTCACCACTTTGCCATCTTCCACGTGGATCCCATGGCCAATGCGGTAAATCTAGGAGCGGAAACTGAGATGGTGACTTTCCCACCCCCTCAGTGAGGGCTATCACAGGGACAACACAGTTTTCACCAAGATGTGCTCCCTGTGATGTGCCCCCTGAGCAGGGAATAAGCAGCAGGAAAGACACGGAGAACAACAGCCTGCAGATCTCTACAGAAACATCTGGGAAGCTGCGGGGAGCAGAGGCCACAGTGCAAAGGATGGTGACAGCGTGGGAGGAGGGAAGGCAGGAAGGCGCAGTGGTGCCCTGAGGGAGCCCATGTGGGCCATACCTTCTTGTTGAGCTCCGTGCGGTGGTGGTAGCCCTTCTGGCCAGCCCGAGCAATGGAATAGCCGACCCGGGCTGGGTGCCAGGCTCCGATGCAGGCAACTTTGCGCAAGCCCTTGTGTGTCTTCCTGGGGAGCTTCTTGGTGTGCCAACGGCTTGTCACCCCTGGAAGTGTGACCGGACAGGGTGGTGAGAACACCGGGGAGATTCAGGGCTGGTGTCTGAGTGCTGGGGAGGGGAGAGTCTCATCATTCTTCTGCAGTTCTTGGAAGACACCATGTTGGAAGGAGACCAAAAGCTGTCACCACTGTGAGAGGCCAGAGCACAGAACTGTTCTCACTTCCCATGGATCTGATCAGACTGTGATATGTTCCTGCTGGGCAAATCCATGCACATGCATGAAACACCCACACCTCTGCACACGTGGGGTTTGTCAGAAGTGCAGTGGCTTTATGTACAGTGCCTCTGAGCCTCCTGGGAGGGCTCTGGGCACAGTAGAAAACATGGTGTTTATGGAGATTAAGGAAACCAAGCTCTGCTACAATGGAACTGCATGTCATGGTTGAGGTCCAGATGCTCTTTGCTACTCCCTGTGCACAGTAAGTTGCTGGGTTCTCAGCATGGCTAATACTCCTCTCCCCCAACACTACCTTATGGTCAGTGTCATCTGAGAAGGACAGAACCAAACCCCTGGCAAGGGTCTCCTTGCTCTGTACCTTTCATCCCATGCCCCTTGGTCACACCAATGACATCAATCATCTCATTCTGGCTGAAGACGCTGTGCACAGAGACCTGCTTCTCCAGCCTCTCACGGACCCAGTCAACCTTGTCAGCGACTGTCCCACCATTCAGCTGGATCTCCATCACGTGGGCCTTCTTCTGCCGCAGCGGCAGCAGCTTCATCTGCATTAGACAGTACATTAGGGCAAAATGTTGTCCCTCACCTCCCAGGCATGAACATGAGAGCAGGGCTGCATCACCAACCACCTGTGAGGGGCACAGAGGATGAGCAGGGCCAGCTCTTCACCACCCCTCTCTATCACAGTGTCAACTCCTTTCATAACAGCCAGCGACCTGGGTGAGCGTGCCTACATATCTCTTGGACCCAACTCTTTGTCCCTGAGCCCAACCACCCCATCTCCCAGTGCTCCCATTCCAGGCAGGAGCTGATGCACATCCTCTCTCCAGGGAGCACAGGAGCAGGACAACTTCGTCCTACCCCAAGAGTTAAGCACAGTAGTAATAGCCATGGTAAAAGCCCCAGAAGAGCCCATCACCAGAGCACCATCCGAGGCCAAACACTGCGGCCAGCCAGGATGCAGCTCTGTTCTCTGAGCCAGAGTCGGTGCCTCTCCTTTGGTCATGTTCCACCTCTGTGTCCAGACTGAGCAGTTATTTCTAGTTCCCAGCAGGAGGTGCCTCCACTCTCTCCCAGTCCCAGCTCTCTGTGCAAAACCCCTGCCAAATCACCACAGTGGGACTTTTAGGGTCTGTGCCAGCCCCAAGTGAAGCCCTGAGCCAGCTTAGCTATGCCTCAGACTCTAAAGAAGCCGTTAACTCCAAGGACCAGCATGAAAATGGGCCGTTTACTATGCCCCCAGCCTAAAAACCAGCCGTTAACTCCAAGGACCAGCATGAAAATGGGCCCTGTGTATCCAGCAATCAGCATCTGGCAAAACTGTGCCTGCCCATGAGTTATTTTTGCCCAAACATTTGACACTAGTTGCTAATTTGAGATGATCATGGGGCCTAAGGTCCCTTGCTGACACTGGGCCCCTCATCTGCTAAGGCTCTGCACAGTCTGCTCTCTGCCCCAGTGTGTGTGGGCTCCCCGGCGTGCCACAGCCACAGCCCTCTCCGGCAATCCCCCGGCAGGGAGCTCTGCTGAGCCCGGCTCAAAGGGACAGGGTTGGTGTCAGGAGGTAGCTGGAAAGGTCAGCCAGCACCTCCCATCGCCTGTGCGCCCTGTCCTACACCCTCTGACCGGCGTCTGCTGGCCCAGCCTCCAGTGACCCCACCAAGACACCCCTGTGATGCCAGTTCCCAGGCCCCATCACGCTCCCAAGATGAGGAAGACCCTGAGCCCCCCTCTCCCACCCCCCAGGATAAGGCTCTGACCTGCGTGTGCACAATGACACGAATGACCTTGCAGTACTTTTTCATCGCCGCAAAATCCTTCTCCAGCTGCCTTTTGCCATCCTCATCCTGCCATTTTTTGCAGTACTTGGTGAATGCCTTCTTCTTGCTCTTGTGCCTACAACAAAAGTGTTCAACATCCAGCAGAGCTGAATGGTGAAGTGCTTCTGCACTTCGCTGTGCCCTGAGACAGTGCAGCGTGGGGGGACAGATCACCTTGCCAGGCACCTCCCCAGAGGCACAAGGTACCTGTAGGTACCCAAACCTCGCCTGGCTGCCACGGCCATGACACGGGGCTTTGAGGTGGGAAGAGGAAAGTGGATAATGAGCTGTGAAAAAGGACTGGTGATTCAAACCTTTCTGCATGAGGAATCCAGTTGTCTCCCACTGACTGGCTCAGTGCCATCAAAATACAAGCACAAAATCAGAGCTAAGTGGAGAAAGGAGAAAACAGCCTCCGGCAGGGATCAGAGGCATGTGGTGGGTGGATCTTAACGGCACTTTTGCAGAAGACACGATTCCTACAGTTATGAAATTCCTGTTTCCATTTTCCTCTCTGCTGGTGTGGGATTTGGGGTGTTGCTGTTTACAAGGGGTCACATTTTGCATCAATTTTTCCCTTGACAAAGCTGTGTTTACTCCCTTCAGTTGGTGGCTCAGCTCAAGTATTCCAGTTTAATGGAGGGTAGATGGGCCTGAGCTACACAAATGAAAACAAACCTGCAGCACGCACTGCCATATGATATTGTGGAGAGAGCTAACTTAGTTCAACTATTAGAATAAATTTACATATGCATATGCTGATTCCCAGCATCAAGCTGTTTGCAGTATCTCTGTGCATGACTAGATAAATAGCAGTTTCACTCCACCCCAGAGCCAGCTGCTGGCAGCTGAGCTGTTTGCAACGGCTGGGCATCATGGAGAGCCTGCGGGGAAAACCTGCGAGGGACCCTCCCCAGCTGTGGAAGCACATACCAGTTCTTGTAGAAGCGCCGTCTGCACTCATCGCTGATGTGCTCAGCAAAAACAGTCTTGAAATTCCTCAAGCCCTTCGGTGTTTCTATGTACCCCACGACTCCCACCACCACCATCGGGGGGGTCTCAATGATGGTCACGGCCTCCACCTCCTCCCTTTTGGAGATCTCTGCAAGATAGCAAAGGGACGTGGTACTCAGCATCGTCTAGGATCATATCATTCCCTGGAGCCATTTGTGCCCATGCCGTTACAGCGAGCAAGCAACGTGCTGGGGGCAAGGTCGCACTCTGGTCTCACAGCCAGCTTCAGCCCTTCCAATCTCCCATGGCCACAAGCACTAAACCACCCAGGGTTTGATGACCAGACACTGAACAGGTTAGACCCTGTGGCCCAGCACAATTCAACCCATCTTGCCCAAGCTGAGGAAGCCGTACACTGGATGGCTCTTGCCCTGAAGTTTGGCTCCAATCCTGTGGGCATCCCGGAGGGTAACATTATGAACTTCCCCAGCAAGACACTCCAAGCCCAGGGTTTGTCAGACAGTTACCCTGCAGAGTTCTTCTGCCAGCAGGATCCAAAAAACATCAGTCACCATACTGGTGTGGGGACTTCCCAGGAACCCCCAGACTCAGCTCATGCTGGCTGTGAGGTGGCTTTTGGCCATCCAAGATCTGGACAGCATTATGGGAGATAGCCTGGAAGCTATGTACTCCACCACCCATTCCCAGGAGCAGCCTTTCCCACCAACAAGTCTGCTCCCTCGTTTCTCTCCTGGATGTGGCTCCCCACTTCCGTCAGCCAAGCCTTACTGAGCCCAGGCCTGTGCACCTCCCGCACAGTGTGTGTCATGCCAGCTTTGTAGCCCAGGAAAGCCGTGAGGTGGACTGGTTTGCTGGGATCATCCTTAGGCCATGTCTTCACCTTCCCTCGGTGGCGACGGCTTCTCTTGTGGGGGAGGAAGCCCAGGTGGCCATGTCTGGGAGCAGAGAACTTGCGGTGGGACTGCAGAGAAAAACAACAAAAAAGGTCAGCTTTGCTTTCAGGTCCCAGAAAATGCCAGGACCCAAAGCACAACAGGAAATCTTCCCTTTAACATCAGTGAATGCTGGAGGGACTCTGGGCTCTTCCTCAATTCCAACATGAGAAAAAAGAACTCCTAACGGGAAGGGATTTTGTTCAAGCTTCTATCACGAGCATGGAAGAAGCTTCTAGGCAAATAATGCTGGCTAAGTAAAAAATTTGAACATGATCTCCCTCCTTCTGCTTGAGGACTTTTAAGGAGAAATATGTTCTTTCATAGATCTGCCCTACTGTGATGTTAATTACAACGACTTATTTTGTATTCTGCAGCACCAAAAGAGCCTGCTCAGAATTCATGGGCTTTGTGTCGTCAAGACAAATGACATCAAACAAGCACAGCTAACAATCAGAAGAAACGGGAAAGGATACCCAAAGGAATCAGTAATAAGAACATGAGCAGGTCAAATATGCACCTTGAAAACCAAATTAGCAGAGCTAAATATATAAACCCCCATCGCAAGGTCATGCTGAGCCAGGCAGAGAAAAGCAACAGCACTGTAGAGACATGGACAAGTTCTCACACAATTGGCTTCAAGGCAGGGGAGCTGGGGGTCAGCCCAAGCAACGAAGGGTTAGTTCTACATCCACTGCAACTCCCTCCTTGCTAAGATCAGTCCCGGCATCTGGCTGCGCTTGCCACCAAGCTTATCTTCCAGTCCAAGCAGAGCTCTGTTGAGTTCGACCCCATTTCAGCTGCATTAACATCGCCGGTAACCCAGCCCTGCTCGCTGTCCCTCTGCACACAATCGAAAGGTAGCAGTGCCGAGCTTTACAAACCATGGGACGTCTTCAGCCCAGGTCAGCCGCAGAAAGAGGCTGTCAGTAAGTGTCTCCCCTGTCTAATACTTAAGATGGTTATCGGTCTGAAGACACAAATTTAGCTACTAGCTTCACCCGCTGCTATATTCATGTCGTACTCGGCCAAGCTGGCAGGTTGGACATAACAGTTGCGGTGTGATAAAGGTCAATTCCCAGTGTCTCAGTTTACACTTCTCCCTCCCAAACAACTTGAACGTGAACGGCAGCAATTAGGATGTTCCCGGTGTTCCTAGCGAGGCACCGGCCCAGAGCTGCGAACGCCTGCGCTCGGCATGCCGAGCTTGGTGCAGCTGGCTGCTCTGGGTAGAGACAGGCTAAAAAACCTTCCATCAGCCCAGGCAAGAAAGGCTTTGTGATTCTGACTGGGAGAGAGAACGAGCCCATAGATCTGGTTATGAAGGGGAACTCTGCTGCTCCTCCACGCCGGGGCCTCAGGCCGCTCGGGCCCGGCCCCGGGGGGGCGACCCGGACTACACCTCCCAGCA